GAGGAGGCTGGGAGGAGCATGCAATGGCTTTGGCAAGCTGCTTTTCTGAGAATCTGGCCTACCAGCTTGCTGAGCCCTGGGCAAGTAAGGAACAGCATATCCAGAACGTCACGCTCCAGCTAGTTGGGCTGTTCCTAGAAAGAATTCCCTGGGCACAGCAGTAACCACATGCACAAACTACTTTCTGTCGTGTGCTCGCTTTGCCACATGGCAGCCCCTGAAGAAAGAGAGAATATACTTCTCTGAGAAAATGTAGCACACAGGCTGGTAAAAGCACTTCATTAGATGCTCTCTTCCCTTTTGCAAGCTCCTCTCTTGTTATGCAGTTCTCTCCTCAGGGGAGTAACTGCCTTATATTTCATTAACTGACTTTGCCTGCTAACTCATGGAAAAGAGGATCAGCTCACCCCCATCCATCCTGGTACCTCTTTCCTGTGCTGGTTTAAAGGTAAACCAGCAGGAGAAATGAACCCAACTCAAAAGAGGTTATAAGTCAGAGTCACAATTTAGTAAAAATAATACAATAAATACAATTATATGGGCAAACAATTGGTTTTAACCCACAAAACCCAGATGTATAACCCAGCACCCTGGGGCACGAACAGAATGGTGTTCATTGGCCCCTGTGCTGAGCCCCACGTGGTCCCCCTGAGTGCAAAGTTAAAGGAGAGGAAAACTTGTTGGTGAGAGTGCTGGTCGGAGTCTGGTCAAGGGTGATGGATGCAGTCCGGTCATGGTTCTAGTCCTCCTCTGGATCTGACAAGTGAGTCCAGAAATCACAAGACCCCAAGATTATATACAAGGTTTGAGTGGGAATGCCCAGTACCTCCTCCAGGGTGGAAAGTTCCACAGTGGGTGATTGTGAGTCTGGAATCCTTGATGGCCCATTAACAGACATGATCCCATAGGTTGGGTGTGGAGGTGCTAATGACTCTCCTCCTGGGAGTTATCACACCTGAGTCATTAGTGTGAGGATAGGAACATCCTCCTATCTCACAGGCTTCTTAACAGGGCTGCTTATAGCCTGAGGGGTCAGGTGTGCTCTGGGCAGCTGCTGCAAATGGTCTATTGTTAACAGTTCCTGGGAAATGACATAGAGGGTGTAGAATACACAGTTTGGGTTATACCCACACAGTGATGAACTGGTCCCAGCTGCTCTAACTAGGACATTTCCCTACCTCACATCCTGTTCCACTGTGGACTTCCACAGGGACAACATGTGTCACTATGGTCTTCTCCACAGGCTGCAGGGGAATCTCTACTCCAGAACCTGGAGCACCTCCTTCCCCTCCATCTTCACTGACTGTGGAGTCTGCAAAGGCTTTTTCTCTCACATATTCTCATTCTCTCACAGCTGCCGTTGCACAGTGTTTCATAGAGGCATTGCCAATATCACTAACGGGCTCAGCTTTGGCCAGCAGCAGAGCCATCTTGGAGCTGGCTGGAACTGGGTACTACCATGTAAACCCAGTGCATCATCATTGATTATATAATTGATTATATAAGGAAGCTGGCTGGGAGATATGTGTCATTTTGGAAAAGCTGCTTTGGCTGTTTTTTTTGACATGTTTCTGGCTGTGCTGGGGTGAGACTGCGTAGGTAGATTGTTTAGAGGAATAAGCTTAACAACTCTAATAAAGCTGCCAAACTCAAGTGATGCATTTGAAATGTTTCTTTATAGAGCTGATGTGGTTGGATCCTATCCGTCCATGCATTTGGGTGGAACAACAATGGACTTTTTTGTGGTTTTCTAAGCAAAAAGGGGTTGCAACAACACTGGCCAAATGGTATGCATCCAAAGGAAGAGCTCATCCAGCATGAAACCATGGCAGTAACAGCACTGTCCAGGTTTTGTCTTGCTGTTGACCTAGAAGAGTTTTCTTCCTTAAAATAAGCCTCATGATGAATATGGAGGTGAAGCAGCGCCACCGATCACATCTCTGCAGGGATGTGCCTCACTTCTGCAGGAAAGCCCAGCAGAGGGAGCCGCATCCCTTCATGTTGCTGTCCTGGAGAGATGCAATGAGACAACTCAGCTGTGGTGGCTTTCCAGCCACCAGTGGGTGGCACGTTCATTCTTCAGTAAAGCTATGGGGAGGCAAAAGTGAGCTGGATCCGGACTGGTCCCTGCTCAGGGGTGGGTGCAGCTGGGGTGCCCAGGCACTGTTGGATTTAGGTATAGGATGACTGAATCCTTGGTCTCTCCTGCTCACTTGTCTCACACTATGGTCTCATCATGGTCCCAAATATCCCTTTTCCTGAGCCAAAGTGTTACTGATTCTGCCGAAGTAGACAAACTTCTTTGTAGAGCCAAACACTACTTTGAGGCACTTCCAGTGAAGGAGAGATGCTTCCCTCCCATGCCCCAAAACATTTACAGTGACAGCACTGGTCAATAAGCCCATTGCCATGTTAGAGCCAACAGGGCTGAGGCCGTGGAGTGAATGAAGACCTCTCAGATGGTCCAAATGGCAGTCTGACAAATATCACCTCTGAGGTGACACTGATGCAATCCACCTGGCTGTGACCAGGGAGGTGAAACACATTCCCTGCATATGTTGTGCTGTGAGGACATCTTCCACAGGAGGATCGCACAGGGCTTTACAGGGATCTGCAGGTCACTGTGGCCACCAGCACCACCCTTCTCTCTGCACTGCTGCAGCCAAGCACCTCTCAGGTACTTAAGGTGCCAAATTTGGGGTTACGAGTTACAAAAGGCATTTTGAAGCTTTTGACCCAAGCCAAAATGATTCCCAGGTGAACCTGTACTGCCATGCTGCAGCTGGGAGGGTTTGACTCTGCAGTTCCTGTAGGATGTTTTCTGCTGAGGGTATGTTCAGAAGAAACAGGTTAAGTTTCTCTCATGCCACTATTCATTTTCCATGTGCTGTAATAATTTCCATAATACTGTAACTGCCCCTGTGAAGCCAAGGAGTGGGTAGGTGAAAGCAGGGCATCCCATCCAAAGCTGAGACATGATGCCAGTGGGAGCAGCACCAGCACTCAGGCACTGTCCTGCTCACAGGGTGGCTACCCGGGGACAACTGCAACTGTACCCCTCTCTGTTTCTCATGGGCACCTACCTCTTTGTCCTCCTCCTGCTCATCCTCTTTCTCTTTTCCTGCTGGCACCACTCTTTGAAAGGAGCAAGGCACTGATGACCTTTCTGATGGGGTTGGTGGCAAATTTTCCTTGTTCCTGGGCTTCCTTCAGACAGGGCTTCCCACTGCCATGCAGGACACAGCCAAGGTCTCCCAGAGAGGGGCGTTGGGCCACGTCTTTCCTCTGTGAATGAGGTGCCAGTGGCCTGTGCCACTGCTATCACTGATGCATGTTGACATCTGGTCTCCTCTGGCCAGTGCTTTCCCCATAGGAAGACCCTGGGGTGAAGCTTGGCAAGCTGCAAGCAGAGGTCACTTTGGCATCTCTGGCTGGGGGTGTTTTGTGCTGCTGCGACTGTGCTGACCAGTGCAGGCACCAGAGGATGTCCTGTCGCAGGCTCTGTGCAAATGTCACAGGCAGCTTGCTCCTCTCCCACTCAGGCTCAGTGAAACACCTCCCCCAAGCACAACATGTGTGATATGAACATCCAAGGTGTCATCCTCAGTCCCAGCTACTGCATGGGGTGGCTTGTGAGCCTCTGTTCCTACTTCATTGGGAGATGCCTGGACACTTCACAGCTCCCTAGCAGTCTCAGAGCTGCTGGGGCTGCTTGTTCCTTGTGCTCAGGCAGCCTGTTATGTCTGTTTAGGAGATGAGAGGCACAGAACTGCCAAATTCCCATTTGGTGAACACATCTTTTTCCGCATTGAATGATTCCTAGGTATACTCTCTGCCACCAACACTAATTAATTTGAGTGCTGTTTTAAACCTGCATATGGATAGTGGAGATTCAGCTTCAACACTGTCAGTAACTCCTGTGACAAAGTAATGTGTTCCTGGTTTTGATTTCAAGTTTCAGGTATTTTAAGAGTTAATACCCATTAGAGCTTGGTTGTCATTGGCTTGACTCATGTATAGAACTTTGACCAATATCACTCTGCCCACCACGGACAAAGAAAGCCAATCATCACCACCACATGTGCAATAGTTGCAGATTTTCTTAATTCACAGATATTTACCCCCTGCCTTTGGAGCAATGGTGAATGCAGGTGGACATTCAAAGAGTTTGGGAGAGACAAGAGACCATTCCAAGTGAGGATCTTTAGTGGCACATCTGTGGACTGATGCCCAGTGAGGTACTGTTTGTTCAAAACAAACAAAAAAGTTATGAGATTTGGCTGAATTTCAGTAATGGCACCAAGCTATAGTGAGGAGCAGCAGTATTTAAGGAGATAACACACACTTCAGATGTTACCTGTTGCTCAGCAGCGCTGCTCTTTCCCATGTATCTTGTGTTGTTGGGAAAATCAGACACAGCTATGGGATAGAAGCCGTGTCGGGTCGGGATATGGTGGCAGTAGGTACTTGGTAGAGTTAGTGAAAATTCAGTGCTGTTCAGGGTTTTATTGTCAGTGAGACCATCCTAAAGTGTGCATGTTTTGGGAAGAAAGGGTCATATGGACTTGACAGCGTTCAGATTACAGTTGGACTTGATGATCTTAAACATCTTTTCCAACCTAAATGACTATGATTCTATGATCATTTCCCTTTGGTATTTCTGTCTGTGCTTGGGTGATTGTGGTGGGAAGGTGCCTTCCAAGGAGAAATGTTAAAGCAAACATGGTGCCCTTTACCAATGCTGGCTATTGGCAGTATTGGACCATTCCCCTCAGACATCTTCACCAAAAGTTCTTGGAGCAGAGGAGAGGCAGTGGTACTTTATCTCTCCTAGCCAGAGAAACTGCAGAACAGGGGCAGCAGGTGGGACGGGGGCACCCAGGTGAAAGACGGGGACACTTCAAAGACACATGGGGGAAATTGCAAATCTCTTCCACTGACGTTCATTTAAACGCCCAAAGTAAAAGGCATACTGATTATTCAGAGATAAACCTGAAATGTTTCCGTTCCTCTAAGTGTCAAGTACAGAGGCTGTAACACATGTCACAAAGAGGAAAAGATATTTTAGGACTGTGCACCGCAGCAGCGAGGACCTTGCCTGTGGCTTGGCATTGCAGCGTAAGCTCAGGTAAATACTGCCAGCCTATATAATAAATGAAGGTATGCCTGCTTCTTAAAAATATGTCATATAAAGACAATTTTTTTGCACTCTTTAAACACAGTGTTGGATTATGGAGAGGAACTTGACATACCAGCTGGGCAGAGGCGGCTCTGAGGACATGTCGGTGAGTCACTCTCCACCGGGTTGCTCCCCTGCAAGCTGAGGCCAGTAGCACATCTTAGAGGTCTAGTTTTGCCTATGGGGACATATAGTACTGAAAGAGATGATGAGGATTTAGAAGAAATCAGTGTCATTGTTGTTAAAAAAAAAAACATTGAGTGAAAGTATCTTTGACTGATGAGATTGTGTTGTGGAAAAAGGCTGTCCTTGAGGGCAGAGGTAGTGCTAGGAGTGTCCTATGGAGGATATCCTGACTGGGGTATGTGCTGGCATCCATCTTCTTTAGCTTTTTGCTGTCACAGGTACTGCCCAGGGATGTGGTGGTTGCAGAGAAGACAAAGCTGGGAAGGAGGGAGGAAGAGGCAGAAAGCCCCATCTACTCTTTGGGAAGTCACCCCATGGGCCAGAGCTGCTATTGTTGATCTCACCTGGGGTGGCGAGAAAGTGTGATGTGCAGCACTCACTGGTGACCTGTAAGTGCTGGCACCTTTACAGCTGAAAACTGCTTGAATTGTGTAGGAATCCTAGGCAAAAGTAACTTGTCCCATAGAGGGCTATTTTTGGCACTCAACTAACTGGAAGTGAAGCTTTTAGGAGATGAATGTTTACATGTCAGTTTCTCTCTGAGCCCTGCTCCCTTTCGCCTTTCAGAAGGAAACATGAAATAGGACCCCAAAATCCATATCAGGGGCTCTCAGCCCCTGGGCCATGCTTATTTCATTGTTGGTTTGGGGATGGGCGCTGTCTCTGGCCCCAGTGCCCCACTTCGACTCAGGAATGGGGCATGCCTCCACAAGGAGTCAGGGGAGTCAGCTGCATTCTGATCTCCTCTGCCCCTCTGGTGCAAGAACCTCATCCCAGATCTTGCAGGGGAGGACCAGTCTCTCATGTTCATTCCTTGTTTGCATCCTGTACCACAGCTGCGGCACAGCTGTTTTGTCCTCATGTGGCTTAGCATGAGCTGACTTGTGCCTAGTATATTTACTAAGAGGTTAAATATGGGATTTGGGTCTTATGAACTTCTTTGTGCTTGAACAGGTGGGTTACACATTGCCAACATCTGACTCCCCTGCAGCCTATGAATCCGCCTTCTACTACCCAGACCTGGGCATCATCTGTAATACTGAAAATATTCCGGCATTTTCATCTACCTTTTTTCCAGTGCTGTACTCCCTACTGTTTGTGGTAGGCCTTGTGGGAAATGCTTTGGTGATTTGGGTTCTAACAGTTTTCAAGAAAATCAAGACCATGACTGACGTGTATCTGCTGAACCTCGCCATCTCTGACCTTCTCTTTGTTTTCTCCCTCCCCTTCTTGGTTCGGTACTCCATTATGAGTCAATGGACTTTTGGAAATGCTATGTGTAAGATCATCAGCTCAGCTTATTTCATTGGTTTCTACAGCAGCGTCTTCTTCATAACCATCATGAGCATTGACAGGTACTTGGCCATAGTCCAGTCTGTCTATGCTCTGAAGATTCGAACAGCTGCCCATGGGGCTATCACCAGCCTTGTTCTTTGGGTAATTGCCATTTTAGCATCAATGCCAGACTTAATTTTTTACCAGGAAGTAAATGACAATAACCAGATTAAATGCATCCCTCACTATCCTGGTGGCAACAATGGCTGGAAGACTTTCAGTAATTTTGAAGTCAACATCCTGGGGTGGTTGATCCCTGTTGGTGTCCTCATTTTCTGCTACCACAGCATCTTGAAAAACCTGCAGAAGTGCCATACCCAGAACAAGTACAAAGCAATAAAACTGGTTTTTATTGTTGTAATTGTGTTCTTCCTCTTCTGGACTCCCATCAACATTGTGCTTTTTTTGGACTCTCTAAGGAACATGTACATCATTGATGACTGCCAGACAAGCCAAAGGCTAGACCTAGCTGTGGAGCTGGCTGAGGCTCTCTCCTTTGTCCACTGCTGCCTCAACCCAGTTATCTATGCCTTTGTGGGTGAGAAGTTCAAGAAGCATCTCTGTGAAGCTTTCAGAAAATCTCCATGTTTTCTCTTGATCTGCAAAGACTACAGAGCTTTCAGTGGACGCAGCCTGGACAAGAACTCCTCTCTGCACACAAGGTCCTCACAGTCGTCTTCTGTTGGTACAGTCTTGTAGAACTACAAGTCAAAAACTATCATCCTGGACAGGTGACCTAAAGCTGAGAAATCCTACCAGAAGGGAATCCACAGAGATGGACTATTTGTGAAACATTTTATGACAGGAAAAGTGGAAGCAGCTGCTTGATTTTGCTTTTAGTGTTGTTACTTTTTAGAGTCTTCTTTAGCATCTCCCTCCTTTTCCCCTAGCACAGCCTGCCCTGCCTGCTTCATAAAAGGGTGGTGGAAATTACCAGCAGACTCCCACATTGCCTGAGCAGCATGGAAAGGTGCCTTAGAAACATATCTTCCACCTCTCAGATTCAGTACTGAAAGGAACTGTTTTATGTTTCCGAACTCTGGACACTTGGCTGCTCCTTCCCTGGTCTCAGCAGAGTGAATTGGCTTTGTGAGCAGGGATGGGGCTCACTGCAGGAGTGGGAACCTGCTCTTTGGAGGGAAATGGTATCCAAGTTTAAGGTGTCATGGCAGGGACTGACTCCCAGTTGACATGTCTGAATGAGGCTTTCAGCCCAAAAAGAGCCTAGTGAATAATTGGATAAGCAACAAAGAAATAAATGCTGTCCATGTGTTTTTGTGAAATCAATGTGAATTAATATCTAAGTATGATCTTGACACCCCATCTGTTACCAGGGCCTGCAGCTTCTTGGCTGGAAAGGTTTGGAAGCTGTAGCCCTATAAATAATGCTGTGAGTGTCAAAAAACAGCACTTACAGGAATGAATGAGACCTGTAGGAACAGGCGGAGGAATAGTTACCAGGAAAAAGGCTGAAGAGTGGAAAAATTAGTGAGTGTGAGCTGAGAGAGTGGTAAGAGTCCTATGTCAAAGCTTTCTGTGGACCTGCTGGCTGGTAAACCACTGGCCAGGGTGGTGTCTGCTCTCAGTGGAGCCCTGACCTGCTGGCTGAGGGGCTGGCTGTTCTGCAGATGCCTGGAACAGGACAGAGAGAGACAAAAATAGGGGTAATACCTCAAGCATCCTGCAACTCAGGTGGTATCTAAAGCAAACAGCACTGGCTGGTTTTGCGTGGCCAGAGGCTCCTAAAAAACACAGATGGCACTCACATGTCCCCATGAGGGAACTTTTTGAACACTTTAAGCAACTGATATGCCAGTGTGGTCACTGCTCTTGAGCGTACAACTGGGTTTGGCCTCCTAGTTACTGTACCAACTTGATAGCTGATTTATATGTGAATGGTTACTGATTCATATAACTATGTACATATAGATGTGTATATAAAGTTGCACATGCACACAAATAAACACAAATATACACAAATAAAAACACATGTATACATGTGTGTATATATAGAAATATCTTTTTTATATATAGAAATATTGATAGATAAATGCAATGGTTTTCTGAAACTTCTATCTCTGATCTGTTTCTCTCTACAAGATATCACCATATTTTAAGTTTTCTAATAAAGGTACTGCATGCAGTGTAATTGCACAATTCTTACACCCAAAGAACCTGTTTCTTCTTTATTTCTTTCAGCTTGTGCATTTATTATGGCCTGGACAGTTCTACAAAACTGACAATCCCTTCGGCTGCCTCTTCTCTCCCTCTACTCTTTCCCTTCCTATTCCTCCTTAGCTGGGAAGAAGCAGAAAGTAGATTATCTTTTATTTTAGAAATTTAATTTCTGTAAGCATCTGCCCCTGTAGTGTTTCCATACCTACTGAGTACCCTTGGGCTTACTCCCTCGAATAACCAGAACAAAACAAAAATAAAATTCTTTTAAACCACTAATCTTCTTCAGATGGCATTTACAATTTTAATGTGTGCTCCCATTTGCAATCTGCAAGGTGAAATCTTTTGCACAAGCGGGCCAGTAATGAACGGTGTGTGAGAAATACATCTACCTCATGCAGGCCATGACACACGTTTCCCAAATTGTAAAGCAAAGACCGTGGCCAGAGGAAAAGGTTCAGCTGCTGCCTAGGTCCCAGCAGCAGGATTGCAACCAGGTGCAGCAGTACAGTCCCTGCCTCTCAGTGTTCTACCACCCTCGGGCAGCCAGGCTATTTTTTTGGGTATGCAAACAGTCAGGTGCTCTAGAAGGTGAGTAATAAAAATTCAGGACAAAGCCAAAGGATCGTGGGCTTAGAGGACAGCACCAGCTATCTCCTCTGCAAATTCACAGTATGAACCCTCTAGATCAGAACTTGCTCAGCTGAAGCACAAGAGGTGGGAATGATTTTTGCAGCCCCACAGCTTTGTCGTGCATCTCTTGTGTGAGTGGGACAGGTGCTGGAGCCCATTTGCCCAAGCTTGCAAGACAGTGGCCTTTCCCTGGTGTTACTGAGCATTCTGCTAGGGGATATCTCCTTCCTTTCAGAGGTTTCATTGATTGCTGTTGTGTAGCTTTCATTGATTGCTGTTGGAGTGAGGCTGTAACCCAGGGCTTCCCCACAAGGGCTGTAACCTGGTGGTGTGAGGGTAACATAAACATGCAGAGCCTTCTTTGCAAAGTCTTTCACTTCTCTAGCTCTCACTGGAGGACATCCTCTCCTGCTGCTGCCTCAATACTGCTTGCAAACCCTCCTAGTGCAGAAGTGCGAGAAACTTTCTGCAGCTCAGTGGATTTTCTGCCAGAGGCAGCTGCCTTCCTCTACTGCAGCAGCAACACCGGGAGCTCTGAGTTGGACCTGACCTCAACTTTTCCTCCTGACCCAGCTGCTTTAAGCTGCTATCGCTGCCTTCCTGTGCAAAGGACGAAGGTGAGACCCACATCCGGAGGGTGTATGGCTGGCAGGACCTGCCCTGTGTAGCTGTGAGCGGCCAGGAACATTCCTGCAGATTACAGAGCTCCTCTTCTTTCTGAAGGGACAAACCTGAGAGCAGTCTGCTACCCTGCCCGTGCCTGTGAGGGCATAGAGAGCAGAAGACATCTTCCTGCATTTGTGCAAGCTGATGGGCAGCTTGAGGGTAATGGAAATTTTAAGGTCTTCCCAAGAACTGAGAGCACAAGAAGCTGAGGATAGACCAGAGCATCCTGCATAGCCCTGGTGCCTTTTTACCTACTGTGTAAAAAATACCCACCACAGTTGTTATATTGGTCCTGCTCATATCTGCTACTTACTTTCATATCCTGATCTTGTTTTTTCTTTTTGCTGAGATGATGCAGGTTAAAGAGGATTCAGGATGATGTTGGCACATCAAATAGTCAGATACAGTTTTGTTCTTAAAACACACCAGCATAACCCTTACCTATATTCAAGCTTAAACCTAATATACGTACTATTTTTTTTCAGTTTATTGGTATTACTAGCACAGAGGGTCCCTTCTACAGACAGTCTCTGTTTAGAAGGACGGAATCTTTGTCTGATGCCACCCATGACGCTCTGCATGTGTGGATGGAAAGGCCTTAACAGGCTGGAGCATTGCAGTGGCATCAGGGGGGCTCGTCTTGCCTGATGGTCACTTAACACACTGTGCAAACCTGTGCTGCAGTGGTAGAGAACAAAAGGGTATGTTTAGGGACCATGCTGTTGAACTGTACCAGCAAAAAGTGGGATGTATGACGACATGTTAGCTTATGGTGTTGCTAGATCCCTTGGAAAATAGTGTGAAGTGGGGCCTAGCAGATTGTTCCTCATCTCAGCTCTGAGCTGCAGGACTGCTGCTTTTAGCACAGGGAATGATAGTCTTAGTATCTTGTTCCAAAACAGCATCCACATCTGGCCTTTTCTGGCATTATACTGAAGCCTCCTTCCTAAGACAACATGGAGACAACACTAATTAAATCCTTGGCAGAGCTTCTGGCTTTCAAGTCACTTGTTCAGGCCATTGCACACAGTCTAGTGATGAGGATGGGAGCTTCTGACTTGATCCTTTCTGGAGGAGTCCTCCCAGCCAGCAGCACAACTCTACCTCTTTCTGCTGTGGTACCATCTAGCTACACCTGGAGGTCAGAACCAGTCAAAATTTTAACAAGGAAAAAAAGAAAGGTTAATGAAGGGTATCTGTGTCTCATGCTTCTCTTAGCTGAAAGATACCCCCATGCCTCGATGGGCCTGCATTAACATGCACAAAACTCCCAAAAGCCCTGTTAATTGTATCATGTTGAGGATAATCCTATTTTATTTTCAGCCTCTTGAAAACACCAATTATTTATACACCAGTATGTATATATATATATATTTATACACCAGTATATATATATATGTATATATGCATAATATATATGTATTCCAGTAATGAAGCACCATAGAAATTAATAACTGTGCCAGTAAAGGATCCAGAAAGAACCATGACAGAAAAAATATAAAGATGACTTTAGGTATTCTCTCTGGATGTAAAAATAGTTTGGGAAATTGAAAGGTAATTATAACCTTAGTCTGAATATGTCATATTTAACTGTAATGTGTGGGCTGACATGTGTTTCTGGTTAATGTACCTTAAAGGTTAATGTCCCTTAAAGGCAGCAAGTAATGCTGGGCAAAGCAAAACTGCTGCTGTCATGCGTCAGTTTTGATACACAGCCTCTGAGCAGTGAGCTCCTGCGTGTCTGTGCACTTCTAGATAAATCCGTGTTTCTGCTGCCTCAGCTGACACGCCAAAATGTACAGAGACCCGTCACAGAAATCCCCACCTCAGAAGAGCAGTAGCGTGATTTGGGTTTCCTCAGCCACTTCTGACGAGTGTGTCTGCTGGGACCTCGTCTGATCCAATGCCGTGCTCGTCTTGTGGCTGCCAGGACGGTTTGTGCGGGTCTGCTGTGCTTTCCAGAAGCCAGTGCAGCCAGTGCAATGCCAGGTAAGCAGCTGGGTCACGCTTACCACGTAGAATGAGCTATATGCAAGAGGAGCCTACCACCAAGCAAACAGCAATGTTTGCTCTGTTACTCCAGAAAACACCATTTTTCCTCGCCATACTCCAGTATCCAGGCAGTCTTCCCAGTAATATTAATGATTGTGCAACATGTGCATGCACCTCTGGATCAGCAAGACAATTATCCCTTAATTCACTTGGCACCCTTGGAGAGTGTTCAGTCTCTGTAATCCTCCACATGCTTGAGTTTAGAGAAGGTGTGAATGCACATGCAGCATGTGAGGATGAGTACAGTGATGGACAGAAAGGAAGGACACAGCCGTGACCGAACACAGACCACCAGGACACTGCAAAAGTACCAATTGTCTCTTGTGTTCGACTCAGCACCAGCCTTGACTGCAGCACTCAGCAAGGTAAAGAGACCTATGTGTCAAGAAATGTTTGGAAACCAGCTGTCAGAAGGCAATGCCTTTCCTACACAACAAGGAGTTAAGGAAATGGGTTTTGTTCCCTAATGCTCAGGTATTCAACTGGGCTGAGAGCAAAGAGCAATGCTGGGTGGTTTCCTTCGGTCTTTTGTCCACGCTCACCGAAAGGCAGGCAACATTTCCACTCCCCTCACTCACCACGTCTGCTTCTGTGTCTCTGTACCTGCACGCCTCTTGCACCATCCTCATACATCTTGGCGTCCCCAACACCACACTGCCCCAATGTGTCTACAGAGAGAGGGGTGGTGCTGGTGCAAATGTACCTAAGAGCTTCAGCTGTCATAAGCAGCACAAGAGAGAGAGAGAGGACGGAAAGCAGGGAAGGAGGGAGAAAAGGCATTTCTTTATTCATCATTTTGAACAGCAGCCATTCCTCTTGCCTGGGTGAGCCCAGGAGGAAATGAATGTGATTGCCCCACCAATGGCTTCCTCCCCTCTTTCTTGGATCTCATTGTTTTTGTTGGAGCCAACCTCGAAAGCAGCGCAGCCTCAGCAATGTGCTCTGAGAGACTGGTGTAACTCAGGTACACACTGAAACAGGAG